AACGAGTGTGCATATATGCGTGATAAATGGCGAAAATAATAGTGTTCGTGACATCCTCTATAAGGAGAGATGGTGTTGCTCGCCGTATTCGTGGTCGACTGCTTGTTCTTCCGAGAGCCAGCCTCCGTCGACAGCACAAATCATACACTTATAACGGCCATCTATGATGTGCCAAGCTATAATCAATGAGTTTTCTGCGTAAACTCAAGAGAGCCAACATGGACACACCTCTGCGGAATCTTAGGCCACCCATTGCTCTATTGCTATTGAGATCGTCGGGGTGCGGAGGAAGTTACCTTGTGGCGGCACACAGACGTCATCACTCGAAACGGACACAGATAATAATACTTGATTCAGGTGGAGTGCTACAGTGATTTACGGTGGGGAGTAACGAAGATGGCGGTGCGAGTCTGAGCTAAAACGAACACGACACGCGTCGGTGATCCCGCGTGCAAGCTCACGGCGAGTTCTGTGATGCATCCATGAAAAGCCCACTTCGGTGAGATTCACGGATTCGACGTCTGAGGGTGTACGCCTCTTCTATTGGCGACTAGCACGGTCCCAACCGCGCTTCGTCACCTCATCACCCTGCAGGTTGACTCTTTATGATTCTTCTCCCTCTCATTCTATTCTCATTCGCCGTGTCTGTGTACGTACGCTCTGGCACTATTATTTCTTGGTTCGAGCCAACCACTCGATCCGGTGCATCCATTTCGGTGGTGCAAGAAGTATACCGTGATCGTATCATGACCATACACGTTGCTATCTGGACTCAGATATGATTCTGTGTAGCTGGTTTGTGTACGCACCTCTCTTCGGTCATGCCGAAGAGGCCAGAAACAAAAGAATAATATATTTAAGTCTTACGCCTTTGGCGGATAGCTCTGCGAGCGACGCATATATTCTAAACTGGACAAATACTAGATACGTTTAAGTGTGTGCATTGCAAGAACAGACCAGCTAGTCATTGACAGATGCGTCGAGTGCCGAAGTGCATTCCGCTGCTAGCTGTGGCGAGTGTGCAAACAAGCACGTGCCAAGTCTGTGGGTTCAGCCCGACCCCGCCGCCCGATAAGTCTTTCCAGATGAAACGGAGGTCATCGTAGCGGCCACACTTTTCTCTGTACTGTTTCTAGCTTACTCATTCGTCTCGCCACGCTCGAAAGCTCGCTTCACTCGCTCCTCGCTTGTTTGCTCGCACCCCACATATGCCTCTTCTATTGGCGACTAGCTGGCGCGTGCAAAAGTCTTGCGCACTTTAGAGCAGCGCCACAAGTAAGGCACGACGCGCACCCACCGCATGTTGCAAAGACCATGACAATTTGCTGCCTGAAACAATGATACATGAACGTAGCATCAGCGTTAAACTGGTACCCGCGCCAGAGGCCTGCACGTGCAGTGCCAGCGTAGAGGTAGTAGTATTCGCGGGTGTCCCTGCTCCAGACGGCTATCGTGGCATGCTCCACGTCCAGTTCTTTTTAGAGGCATGTTCTTTCCGTGCACCGCTGGCTCTCATGCTCACTGTCTTGCTTCTCAAGATAGACAACCACCCCTGTTTGTCAGCTTGCATGGAGGCGTAAAAGAGTGGTATTCTGTCAAATACTTAAGCTAGCCTTCAATCGGAGGATTCTCGGGGTCCCCAATACAGGTGCAATGTGGTTTGACTGCAATTGAGGTTGTAGAAGACCCCAAGGTGTCTAAATGGGAGGCGTATTATGGCATATGACCAAGCAAGGCCAGCGTATAATCTATGATACTAGATTATACTGCTGCAAGTGATGGGCATTTGTTGTTTCCCATCAAAATGACCTCGGACCATCATTCTGAGCTCTCCTATGAGCCTCGTGTTCTCTCCCTTCCTCGTGCTCACACTATTTGCTCATTGCCATAAATCCCCCGCCTTCCCGCCACCCGCCTGCCACCCGTTGGTGCCATTGATGGCATCAATCCCGTCCCAAGCCAGCCACTGGCTCTACCCCCCCTCCATTAACCTTGATGGTTTGGGGCGGTCAGGTGGTCAAAATGGCGCATCTTTCAATGCAAATCGAACACTGTAGTCAGCGTGTTCATAGGTGTATTTGTTAGAGAGTTATGGGCCAAGGAAGGGGGGGATTGCCAGCTAGGAGGGCAGCCAGCTGGTGCTTCCCCTTCCCACGGTAGGATTGCTACACCAATTTGCATGTATCTGCTTTCGGGTCGTGCAAATTGATCTAGCTACTTACCAGGTCTGTAGCTGTAGCCGTTCTGGCGCTACAGCCTGCGCACCATTCCGCTCCCCCTCCTTTCCCTCCTCCCCCCACTGTTCGTGCGCTTCCCCCCCTCCCGGCCCGTAGAGCTTGGTATAGGGATTCTCAAGTACGCCAAACACCATGGTGTAGTCCGCTTAGCCCCGCGCTCACCACCTTGCCTGACTGACCTCTCCTCCAGCCAATATTTCACCCCTTGCCACCCCATTGACGACAAGGGACCTCTTTCCTGCCGACCCATACGGCATCAATGACTTCAACGACAGCCAAGCCGGCGGTGAAGACGGTGACACCGCACTCGACAATGAGCAGGACGATGACGGCAGCGACTTCAGCAATGCCAAGGACATGCCTGACGTGCCCGCAGCCACCAGCAGGGGGGGACCCTTACGAGAGGGGCTGTATCGGAACACATGGCCCGACCGGAAGGGTCCCCCTTTCCGGATGGGCCCCTTAGGGCCGAGCCCGAAAAAGGCCAAGATCACGGGCAAAAAATCCCGTTAAAGCCCGAGCGCAGGTTTGCCATGGGCGAGAATCGAACCTTTATTCCGCACATTAATTGCGTGACGTGAATACCACTGAGCCATCTAGGCTTAAAATATGTCCTATGTGACATGTCCATACCCACCACACAGTAGCGCGCCCAGACGTTAACACCGAGCACAAACTGATGCCCGAAAGCACAACATTTAATGCTTTCTTTCTTTGGGCTGCATAAGCATGCGCGGAGGCGTGAAAGAGATATTGGGAAGCGGTAAATTCATTGAAGTAGTATACCAGCTACTGTACATGAAAGGCTGGTCATACCCGGAGGAAGAGCTAGTAAATGCGAGGGGGACTAAATACGGGAACGAGCGGGAACGACGCGAAGATGACGCGCACGAAATCGTTAGGGCGTTTCTTGAGGCGTATTGTCGCGTATGACGGTACTAGCACTCTTGATCAGCTTAGAATCGCAGTGTGATAGACATAGTGGGCGTACCTCCAGCGATCACGCGCCTGAACCGCACCCAACCTCTGGTCGTCTCCCCGTTCTCCGCACGCGCCCTTATCCCTGAGCATGTGTGCTCGTATATCCTGCGCTGCGCTTGAGATGACCCGCTAAAATACGCGAGAACAGTCGCCTAACGGTGCCGGTTCTGGATGTAACAGGCGAAGGAGAGCATGGTCTGGGCACGTCGTGGCAGGACGCAAGAAGCGCTCTCGCGGTTGATACGCGCCAAGTGCGTGTGCGCTGTCCTAGCTTTCGCCCAAGTCCGTACACTTCCAGCGTTTTTTGCTCTGAGTCCAGTCATATATATTGACTAGTTCCGTAATTACGATACATGAATGAGGCCGTCGAGTCCGTGAGTCTTGATGAACTGCGCCGCCTCCGTCAGAGGCTCAGCGAATTTCTCCTTGAGTGAGTCCGACTGGCGCATAAACATAGTGCTTTGCTTTCTCGCGTATGCTCGCATACCATCCCGAACAAAGCCGTCCACGCCCGGCATCTCCAATGTCGCCTTTCGAGCCCACCACTCCGCCTTGTTCATAGTGAACTCTGGTGTCCTGACCATCTCGTAGCAGAGATGGTAGATTTCCTCCACCCACCGCATCGCTCTTGCACGGCATCGCAAGAACTCTACGCGCATATCTGCGTGCAGCATGTGAGGTCGAGCGCAAATGCACCAACGTCCGTATGTACCGTCATTGAGTTCCAACGTAGCGCCATCGAGACTTGTGTACCACAGCCACGACACTTTCCTGTGTGTCTGTCCGGTCACAGACGTGTCTCCCTTTCGCGCTGCAATCAGCGCGCGCGCGTGCGCTATGTCCGCCTCCTCAATCTGTATCAAGACCTTCGAACCTATAGCCACACAGTCCAACTCCTCCAGCACTTGAAACCTCGACTCCCAGTCCGACGGAATATGCCGCGCGCGCTCTTCGGCAGTGAGCATGTTCGCCAGGGCAGCGAAACGCTCGCGATGCAAGCGATACGCAGCCTTTGCGATGGCCAAGTTCGCCTCAATCACCGCTTGCTTCCCTCGCACGCGTGTATTTGGCCGCTGGCCTCGCGTATTGCCCTTCCTAAACCGATGGACAACTCCTTTTATCTGCAGGTTCTGCCGTATCATGACCACAGCGTCTGACAGGCCTCCCCAGCGCAGACAGATCTCCTCCATCAGGACATCGTGATTGTGCTGTACGGCGAGTTGAGCGGGCAACTCCGACGGTAAGAATAGGTTCATCTCCGTGGCCTCCAGCACGGGATCGTTAGCGTCTGCTGAAGCGATGAGTTCATCGCCGTCGTCGTAGTCCTCCGCCTCTCTTCCAGTCCCGTCGACATCCTTGCCCTGTAACTCTTGCAGGCCGGCGGACACCAGCGGCATAATCCACTGCTGCTGCTTGCGGAACATCGCAATGTGGCGCAACAGTTCATTCTTGCGCTCCGTTCTCTCAGCCTTCTGTAGAACGGTGTTGCTGTTGCGCTCGGCTGTGACACGGAATCTGGATCTCTTGTGAGCACGCTATCGTCGGGACTTTGAGATGAATCTCACTTCATCAGTTCTATCTTGAACCCTAACAAGATAAAGTTCGTGATGTCTAGCGTGGCCGTATGGATCTCCGAGGCTTGGCTTGCCGCCGCCGTCCCGACATTCTGCAGAGCAGTCTTCATGGCCTGCGCGCTGCGCAAGCGAGCTTGATGAAGAGTGATGGCTGTTCGTTCTCGTCAGCTCTACGTCCCGTCACTGCAATATATTTACTTACGCTTTGTTTTGGGTTTGTATGGATTCGGCGCTTCCTTGCCGTCATACCTGCCTTCCTCGTCACGATTCTCCCATGCTATCACCGAAGCCATCCAAGATTGTAGCGTCCCCGCGTCCTCATCTGCGAGCACTTCGCGTAGACCGGTATAGATCTCGCAGTGGTCCTGCGCTTCCGCCAGGGCGATCTCCAACTTCTTGAAGAGGAAAGGGCCTTCATCATGGAATCGTTAGTTTGGACAGTAAGATTCGTACCAAGGTACAGTACTCACCTAGTCCGATCGTCTTCCGCCAGTTCCACATCCCACAGTAGAAGTCGATGGTGTCGCGCATCGTCCCAGCGCCCATCTCTCTCATGCTCGTCGTCGCCGGGTTCAATCCGGCCCATGCGCGCTCAGATGCCTCCCCGTCAGTCTGACCGCAGAACAGCTGGAATGCTAGGTTGAACCACTGCTGGCACAGTTCCTTGTGCCCAGGATTGTGGAACTTCGGAACCGCATACACCTTATGAACTTCGTTGAGAAGCTTCTGAGCTCCCTCGTAGATGAATGAGTCCGGCTTGACGTCGCGCAGACACGCTTCGAGATTGCGCGCATACTGGCATATGATATCGTACGATAGATGTAGCTTCTCGCTACGTAGCCTTCGCGCGACGGATGCCAGGATGAAATCAATCGTGCAGTACCTGTGATGTATTACATTAGTTCTCGGTTCTTTCCCACCAATAGGGTTTTGCTTACCGCTCGCCTTTCACGAGGGTACCGACGGAGTTCGGCCACCAGAAACCGTGGCGTGAGCAGAATACGCCACCCACACCCGTTGTGCGATATCCTCTTCCCTTCTTCAGGTTTGCCAAGATCATGGCGCCAAACTTTGAGCAGGTGCTCATCTGCCATGCGCGCGTCAGTGACATATCTGACGCGTGTTATCTATCGCGCGCCCACCTCCTGATCATGCTGATTGTTCTTGGTGAACGCCTGGTAGTCCTCTTCGGGGACCATGTAAGCCATACCGTCGCCCAACATCGGGCTTGTCTCATCTTTGGACTTGTTGTCTCGATTTCTGGCTCTGAAGTTGCAGTCCATTGCGAGCATGACCAGCTGGAATAACCTGTCACCGATATGCGTATTGTTTTGCCGTGACGAAACTGATGAAAGACGTATGGAAGGGAGTCCAACAGCTCAGGCGATAAGTCGCCTATCTGTTCCAAGATGTCGGTGTTCAATCCTTCATGCGGACACGACGGACACAGAACTGCCAAGTCGCCCTCAGCGGTCTCCTCTATTCCTCCAAACCGATCGTGACCTCGTCCCGCGCGTTTGCACTGAAGGATGTGTTGCCATTCGTGTGTCATCCGTAGAAACTCCTTGTATCGATCCTGAAGAACGTCGTCAATACGGACCCGGGCTCGACAACAACGTCATAACCCACTGGTAGCGTATGTAGTCCTGTTGCATCGGTGAGGTGACACAAAGAGTTGTAGTACTCGTATGCGTTCGTCTTCCCTATCGCTGCCAGGGCATCAAACACGTCGAGGCACTCGAATGTTGCCGCGGAGTGCGGGGTTACTGAAGTAGCCGGCCACCACCGAGCACGCGTAAGTTGATCGCTTATCGGAATGAACGATTGCGTACAGCCGCAGAAGACCGCCTTAACCTCGTGTACGCCATTCGTGTGAAGAACCACGAAGTCTTTGACCGGGGTGCGCCGAGGCTGAGGACACGGCCGTCCATTGTGACCAAAATGAACAACGACGCCCAGTCGCTTAAGCGTCGTTTCCTGCCAGTGACCTTCTAACCAGATCTGATAGCTCGTCAGGTACGCGGCGTCGTATCCAGTCCTGTTCACATTACCTCGACGCGATGCAGCGGTAGATCTGCATGTTTCTTTGACAGACAACCTTTGCACATCCAGTCGCACCGCATGCAACCTGACACACAGCGATAGTATCTTCGCTGAGCGCGCCGATCTCTGCACTTAGGATTCCGGCATTGGTTTTCGGAAGCTAGGTGCGCCGCCTCTGCGCGACCGTCGTGCCGCAAGAGCTCCCGCAGCGAATCCATGCGGTGATCAATCCACGACCAGATGGGTGCGCGCTAAATACACGTATGTTAGTCTTGTTGAACGCATACACGAGACTTGCATCACTTATGCTGACTGAAGGTCTGCCGTCCGTTTGCTTACCATCCGCGTCATTCTTAGGAGCTTGGGCGGCTGCGCTGGGTCCACTTTTGGCGTTGATCGCGGCGTCGGGCTCGTCATCCCACTGGACATCATGATCGTCGTTCTCGACCCTACCCGTCTCTTCATCGACGACCTCCATCCGAACTCTGTGGGCACGATGGGGAGCCTTGGCTCTCGGCGCCGCTTGTACGTCTCCCAACGCCTCCAAAGGGATAGAAGGTGTTGGTTCTGCGCGTCGAACAGACTCGACGCGTTCGCCGTCCTCGTTTCTGCTGATGGTCACATCGAGTGCTGCATTCTCTGCTTGCTGCTCGACGTAGCCCCCCCTGCCTCTCTTGAGCTTCTTCTTTGTCTCCCTTATGTCTCTCCATATCCCTGATCTCTTCATATCGTGCAGATATCCTGAACAAGATCCTAACAATTCACCCTACGCCACTAGTCAATCAAATGTGTTACACTGCACGGCTCAAACATGAACGCACCGTCACTCCGAGGAAGATGCCTGCGGAGCGGTATTCTGTACTATCAGTCGACCTTTCTCGTTGAACGCGCAAGACAAGACCGCTTCGACCCCGCGCCGAAGATACGCACGTGGGCTCACATCGGAAAATCAGCCAAGATAAGATCTGACGCATGTACGATCTTGACCGCATGCGGTTCACCGCCATGTAAAGTTGTATTGATATTTGACGCTACATAAGGTGCCATAGATGCCGCAAGGCAGTGCTTAGCGCACTGAACTATCGCCTAGACGCCCGCCACATATGGACGAGGCCGGACTACTACTTGGACAGCACTATCTCCGTCTGTGTCCTCGCGCATGCTAGCTGGTTGGCGCCAAGTGAATCATATCGCCAAATAACGGGCCATATGTTGAGCAAGGCAGAGCAAGTCGCAGCAGCATGAAGTTGAGCGCGGCGCAGCGCCCACTGTGTCTTCAGCTGGGAAAGACTACCGGCGTGGGGTTGAATGTCAAGTTCCAAGTACCGCGTTGCCAGACGCAGTGTACCCAGATAGGCTAGCAGAAAGCACGCAAACCAGGCAGCTCAGAATGATTGTTCAGCGCTCAGCTGTGAGGGAGACGAGACCGTTGAGTCCAAGTGCGAAGCCATGCGCTCAACGCTGGCTGCTTCACTCTTTACCACCATCAGCCCGATCATACACACGATCATCCCGCCACTCTCAAGACAATCGAATTCACCGCACGCAGACTTTGTGCACCGACCAACCGTATGGATTAGACGCGCAAGTATATACGGATCCGACAGCATCATAGTTTGGCCTTCACGCGCGCGGCGGCACCATCTTCAGCACCTACACCCGGCTCTACAAGGTCGTATGTGGGCATCTTCCAACGCCACTCTATCGTCTCGTTTGGAGGGAGAGCGCTAAAGAACGAATATGTTAGGACTTCATCAGTGTTGTGCTTCTCGCATCCAACCGCACACGCACTATTCCCGGGCATATGCCTCCACAACTCGCGTTTTCGCGCCGCTCCGCCTGTTCTCTGAATTTTCGAGCCGGAAGAGGACATCTTGAGCTTTGATGGCCAGGTAGAGGGCGTGTCTGTCGAGCAGCAATTGCTCCTGGATCCGGCGAGAGCGATCGCGTATGTCTTCACCCTCGTATTGCGTCTGTGGCTGGCATGGCGAGGGCTGATCAAAAGCTATAGGGTTTCATTAGGACGATCTTTCCAAGGAGCATAAGTGGATGCGTCACCGCCTCGGATAGTCGACGCAGCAATAGTACCAGTCCAAGACCATGTGTCGACCGGTTCTAACTCGGGAGGCTCATCGTCCTCGTTGTCCTCGACGCCGTCGTCCTCTTGCACCACGGCTATAGACATTCAGCAGGGCGTATGCGCGCGTTTGGGGGAAGATCAACCTAGCCCACTCTCGGACCGCTCCAGCCTATCAGCAAGTGTATGTCAATGACTGAGAGAAGTCTATGTCCGCTCAGTGCTCACGCCACATGTCCGTCTCGCGGCGCGTCGACTTGCAGCTCAGCCAAACCCGATGTCGTGCGTTCGGACGGCTCTACGGGAGGAGGTGTCACAGCCGCCATGATGGTTCGTGAGTAGTTGCAGGCGTGCGTCTATCCACTAACCGCTACGCGCCCTAGGAGCTCGTCTGCGTGCCTATCTGCACGCTCCTTGGCTCAACGTTCACTCGGCCCCGAGGTCCCGCCCCGATCCACGTTCAAATCAAATCCGCTCGCCCATGCGGTCCACGGGCAACATACGACGACCCCTGGAGGTCTCTGCCAATCTTTTGGGAGCATGTACGCATCAATTGATCTATCTACTTCAGGCGTTCGATTGCAATCGTCGGGCTTTCAAAACATGCCCGTATCGGCTTCCCGCCCCTCCTGCTCGCGGCGTCAGTACGGCACCGACAGACAAGTGCATCGGCGACGTACGAGCGACAACAATCAGTCAAGCCAGTCGATATCACGGTGGTTCCACATGAACTCCTTGATTCGCTATCCGTGCACCGGTAAGTTATAGTGCCCCAGTGCTCATCGTGTCTAGTACTCACATCCTCCAAGGGCTCAGTCGAGTAGCGCCTAAATCGTAGGGCGCGAAAGACGTCACCGGGCCATCGGCGGCAGTACGCCTCGTAGATGCGCTGCTCGTATGCACGCTGCGCCTCTATACCTCGTGCGCGATGGGTCTCCCAATTTTTGACGCGGGCCTGAAGGAAGTTCGCTTTCACGCTCCACCCCACGCCGCCGAAGAAGAAGTAGTGCTTCCTCGGGGCCCGCACACGGACGTTCGGATCAATGATGTCTGCCTCAGGGTCTGACTCGTCGTCCGTATCTCGTCCGGAGCCCGCTTCCTCGTCGCGCGAGCTCGCTTCCTCGTCGTGCGAGCTCGCTTCCTCATCGTGCGAGCTCGCTTCCTCGTCGCGCGAGTTGGATTCTTCTTCCCCCGAGTCCGTTCTCTCCTCCCCCGAGCCCACCTCCTTGCTCTGCCCGTCCCAACTCCCGGCGTCACTGCGATCTTCGGAGTCTTGGCGGTCCTGGGATGCTTGCATGGTGGGTGGAGACAGCCGTCGACTTCCGCGGACCAACTTTTAGCTTTAGGGCACAAGCAGCGCAGGTGTCGTTACCACGCCGTGCCCGGTGCGCTGGCCCGACGCTTTGATCGATCTCGATCATGGCACCCGTTGACGCGCCCGGCATCGGTAGAGATGCCTAGCATCGTGCTACGCATTGCCGGGTAGTCAGCCGACCGTGGGTGGGGTAGTAGTATTTTATCTTACTTTGTAGAGTGCAATGTATACGTTCTAGATTTTTGTTTGTAACTATACAGATCAATACAATCATTCTATTTCATGTAATGTGCAACATCGACATAGTAAGATGCAGTGAAGCTAGTGAAGTCCAAAGAGGAGACTACAAGATCAATTCACCTTCGAACACAAGCCACAGTGCGCTCTACCTTTCGGATTCTGGCATATCGCGCGTGAAACATCCACCGCACTAACCCACTCTCCGGCAGCAGCAACATCCCTCGGCTCCACACAGACCTTCCCGCCGACAGACAGGACCTTCACGGGTCGTCCGCCCTCGCTTCTCTCGCGCAGCATGTCGACAATAGACTGCCACACAAGCCCCGACACTATCCTCGTGGGCGGCACAGCCCACAAGCCCCACCCTCCTGCGGCAGGCTCCAGCGCAACGTACACCTCTTCGAGTACAGGCAAGGCCTCGACGTGACGTAGGAGCTCGAGGAAAGTGTCAGGCCCGCTCGTTGTGGTACTCGTCCAGGAGGTCGTGAAGTCCAGACAAACCTCCTTCACGAAGTTGTACTCGTGCAAGATGTCCAGGAGCATGGTTTCGTCGGCCTGGGTGCGCACAGATCGACCCCACTCGTGAAGACATTCCCCAGCGCGAATCATCACGGGAGGACGCAGCGGCCGTAGAGCAGACAGCACCTGCGCGACGCGGTAGGTCTTAGAAGATCTGTCTGGGTTGATCGCCCCCCAACCCTCTTCCCCGCCTGCCTGCGACGGGACACACACCGTCAACACACACGTCTCGTCTCTGAGTCGCGCTTGGAATATGATGTCCCCCTCTTTGTCGCCGACTCGGAAAGACATGCTGTCGCATTCTGGGATTGCCGGCGAGTCCTCGCCTTCACCCGCAGCAGCAGCCAACACCGCCTGAACGATCTCCCCCAGTAAGATACCATCGTGAGAGTCAGGACCAGCGGCTTCAGCGTCCCGCAGGCCCTCAATGAGTTCGAGACCGATTGACCGTACGGTCGCGATATCCAACGCGACAGGCGCTAGACCCTCGGGCGGCATCAGCTGGGGGAACATGACTTGATTCAGGCGTTCGGCGAGCGCGTCTTGGCGCCCGTTGAGCAGCATAGTTTCCACGTTCGTGTAGCAGTCTCTAAGGGCATCAACCGTCGCGTCTTCAACTGCCAGATGGGCTTGCAGCTCTTGCCTCGCGGGCTCGAGGACGGCATAATCTGGGGGCAGGCGCATCATGCCGAACAGCAGTATATTGGCCACCTTTGGCATGCGGACACTACACAGAAAGGTGACGGTGGCTGGGGACAAGTCGCCATAGATGTACAGCTCCGAGAGCTCTTGCATCCGCACCGGTTTGGCATACGGGCCGATCTCGGCCGAGTACTGCGCCCAACGTACGTGCAGGAAGCGAACAGGGCGCATCACTTCGAGCATGTACTGCATCTCGTGCACGAGAACGTTAAACGTCTTCGCCAGCTGTGCAGACGTCGACTGAACGGCCATAGGGGTGGTACTGTCGAGCGTTTCCAGACAGAGGGTTCGCAAGATGTCGGACATGTTGATGCGAGACGCCTGGTTGTCCAGAGCGCGGATGCGGAGGTAAACCAGCTGCGAGAGATTCATACTCTGCAGGAGATCCACGAATGAAACTGGGCCGCGCTCGCGAGGCCTGTTGATCACGAGCTTGCGTAGTAGCAGCTGCTCAGTAAGTACGGCCTCTAGCTGCTCGCATGTCAAGTAATGCAGCTCCAGGTCTTGCAGGCTGCGCGGGTCATGGAATAGGATGGGCCTGGACGTGACGCAGACCGAGAGAGAACTCGCGTCAAGGGGAAGCCCAGTATAAGATGGCAACGGCGTGCGAGGCATGGAACGCTCGTCAGGCCGCAAATACAACACTTTGAGGTTCGGGAGGGTCGTTTGTGTGAAGTACTCATTTAGAGAGGTCCAGGGGATCCGATCGGTGGCGTATATGCAGTCCGCGCGAGAGACTAGATCCCGTAAGGTTGATACATCGACGTCGGGGCAGAACGAAAGTCTCAATCTCATTGAAGTGCCCGCGCGATGAAGTAGAATTGCAAAGATCTCATCCGTGAGGCCCGCCGTCAACAAGGCGCCCCAGAGCGCGCAATAGTCCATCGCGACGTGGTAGAACCAGCGATCACCTTTGGTGAGATGGATCACATCCGTGAGGCACTTATACCCTTCGCCGTCTTCGTCGTAGAAGCCCTTCCTAGGTGCGGCATCGTCGGCTGGCAATAACCAAGAGAAGATCTCCCTCAGGAGATCTATGTTGACGCGCCGGATGGGCTGGCTCGCGAGATCTTGCGGCGCTGGAAAGTTCAATGTTAGGCATGCGATCTTGCATAGAGTTCGCGCACTTACAAGGCAAAGCTGGTGCTGAGACGGTCGCCGAGTAGACTGGCGGGATCGCGGCTCCTTGCTGTTGGGCTTCCTTGTGTGCGCGTATGACTCTGGATTCCCAGCCAGAATACGTATACCAGCTGCTCTCCCGCCCTCTCCAGCTGCGATGACCGGAGTAGGGGGTACGCGCTATGCCATATGATGACATGGTCATCTGCAAGGACCCTTCGGCAAACGCAGACTCGCTACGCTCGCGGTAGGAAGGGTCCAGATCCGCCTCCCGGATAGCATCTGGATTGTGTACAGCGGCATTGCTGAATTAAATGGCCGCGTGTCAGTAAGCGTCTTCAAGCCACGGAGTGATATTCAGAACTTACTCATCCGCCCAAGGGTTCTCCTCGTCCTCTGCGTCTGTGATAACGCCGCCCTCAGACTGCTCGGACCCTTCGCCTTCCGATCCACTAAGCGGAGAACGTTAGCATGATATCCAGGCCAGTACTGCAATATTGGTCCGGGGCTCACTCGTTATCCCCCCACTCGTTCTCGGGCTCGTGTGCAGGGTTCTCAAGGTCAGACATAGTATCGATGGCTGGCAATGGATGATAGAGAGGAGTGTCAGTAAAGTGTCGACGAATGGCGTCGAGGATGCTGGTCGTCTCTTGGTGCCTGTCGGTGTTCAAAGATTCTGATCCGCCAGCGTTCGCTGCAGTGGCAGCGCATACACCGCGTGCATATCTTCACAGATCTTTCCAGATGAGTCTGCAGGTTTGCGATAACTGCATGAGGCTGGTATACCCGCCACGAACCGTACTCCAAGCAAGTCAGCAGTGGCGACGCGGACAGATGCGGACATGATACCGAAGCTTGGACGAATCCTGCTAATCCATCAGATCGTTACAGTGCTGCGCGGGCGAGCACAAAGCGTTCACGCGTGCGCTGGTGCCTAAAGCCACTAGGAGGGTGATTCTCAGCTCCTCCCGCACCCTCACCACGCGTTAATCGAGCGCGTAAGCAGCAGTCGCATACCCCAATGTCGGACATTGTCGAGAAAATGCAAGTTTTGAGACGGGGTGAGTCTATACCGGTGTTGCCGTCGCGCCGTACAGCAGCTGACGTTATGCGAAGACTATGAGGCGGTGGATAAACGTACGCAGTTCTCAGTCCCAGTCCGCCGCGTCAACTGGAGTGATTGACTCGGCAATCAAAAGGCGCGATGGTGCTAGACCAGCAATGGCTGGAGCTCATCCGTACAAGGAAAGGTCAAGAGCTCATGGCGGCTCAGCTGGCGGCACTGAACCAGACGGCGGCGGTGCGAAAGGAGTTGCGGATGGAGCGGGAGCGTTTGAATGAGGCGTGGCGTAGGCTTCGGCCAGCTGCATTGTCGTACGGATACACCATGGGCTTATACATGTAGAGGTTACGTAATATCTAATATGTGTCTCTGGTGCGCTCCTCCCGAATACCACTATGCTGCAGCGTCAACTTCCATGATTATAACGAGCGCGAGCATGTAACGCACCAAGTTGTTCTACACCTCTACGTCTGCGCACGGAAGGCGCGCCTAAGGACTGTTCTACCGGTTGCAGGTCGAGCGGACATCGTGGTTTCAGATATCTATGTTGCCGCCGCATTCGAACATTGATGTAGTTGCACCGGCAATAGCCGAACAAGCTAAAGGCTCACTTGTGGGCGCCCATTTGACTTGGCTCGGGCATCCATCTTCTGCGTTTGCGCCTCTCCCTCTCCACCGCCCAATGCTGAGCTTCTGTAGATCTTGTATGCCGTGTCTTTGTTTTACTGTTACTACTTGGAATGCTACGTACTTGAAGGGCATCTACCTTCGCCTGTTGTGTGCGAGTAACATGGAACTCTCGCCTTGACAATGCAGCCAACTGGCGTACGTATCCGCACGTCGTCAGAACCTCAACTCGGAACATTTAAGTCAACATGTGCCTTTGGTGGCTCAGGTCCACCCCATATCAAAGTCGCGCGCACGCGCTTCCGGGCCCAGTCGATCGCGCGGGTATCTATCAGGCACGGCGCGTTTTAAAACCACGACTGCCCTAACTCCGTGTCCCCCGCACTCTCTTCTTGTCATTCGCATGGACGCTGCTCAAGTTAGTGTGGTAGGCGAGGACGACCAGGACATGGCTACAGCCGCGGCGGAGGATGAGAAAGTCCACAACTTGGGTAATGCTACGATGAAACTATATCCGGAGAACTGGCTGACGCGACTTTAAGGTCTTCTGGAGTCAGCCCACGAACTCGTGTCCAAAGGCGGCCAACCGCCGAGGGAGACGTGGGCATATGCGGTATGCCAGTCTTACTAATGCCCGCGCTCCTGGTGTACTGACGAACGGTCAAGGCGAAAGCCGTTGTTGTCGGCACTCTGAACTCCCTGAGCGATATTGCTCTGGCGGTATACGGCTCAAGCAGCAGCATCCCTATGCACTCGGAGGAAAGCTTCGTGGACGACGGCATGGGCCCCGTCCGCCACATTCCGTCCTGCGTCCGGCAACCTACCTCTCCCCCCAGTGTTGTCGCAGTGATCGCTGAGGCGCTGCCGGGTATCGACATCGATTCTCTGGCTTGTCATGCGGCGGCGACCAATCTATACGGCTTCTGGACATGTCCTTCCGCTGACTGTTCACATTTTATCGACGTTCTCTCTCTCCGCGCTCACGAGTTCGCCTTCTTGCGTCAATTCGACATTGGTCGTGCCGCTTCTGCGGTTGCTGCGTCTGGAAAGCCTCGCGTTATCTCAGGGAATCCCACTGCCGCCCGCGCCGCTCTACAACTCCTCGCGTATCAACATTACGAGTCTGCACATCTGTCCCGGTGTGGCTTGGAGATGGTCGTCTCGCCTACAACCCGATCCTCGGATGGACTGGTAAGTTGTTCATGTACGGATGCGAGACATAGCACTGACGTCTATCGTGCAGCATATTGTTACTTGGCGGTGGAAGCCGGACTGGGTCGAGCTCATGCCCGACATACAGGCCGCGTGCGCAGACGACGAACGGCGTTTGATGCGGGGGCTGCGCGAATGGATATCTGGCAAAGGCGCACGCGTTTGTGACCGGTTACGCCGGCCGTATTGGGTGAAGGTCAGACTCTGGGCGCGCGCTGACCGGAGCGAACGCCAACGCATTGTCCGCGACGCTCTCGATGGAGGTCACAGCGAGTACGAGGCGGCCTTCGAGCTCTTCCGGGCGTGTCACCTCGGTGATCTATGCGAAGCCGATCCCGATGTCCGAGAAGCGTACGCTCGAGGTGAAGAACTCGATCGAGACGTTCTGCACTTCACGATGCTCCCTGCACGCCCTTGGCCCCGGGAGTACCCGGCATGGGGCAGCTTATCGGAGAAAGAGCGCCAGAAGATCATTGACGTATACGTCAGTGCAGATCATGAAGCGCGAGTGAAGTGCGAGCGCCGAGTGTATAATTACCCGTTCTTGGTACCCTGGTGACCGCATGTACTCCATAATCCCTTTCTTGGTCAATCCACACGCCACTCGTGTTGCCGCCCGATATGCACATCAGAACCGTCTTCGGCTGATTCACAGAGACCGATTTGAGAGTCCGACGAGGACTGCGTGCAATGAGGTGATTAATGGATGAGGTGCGCCTTCTTGATGCCCATTTGCGCCGCCGCTACCCGGGGCATCACACCAGGAGGCGTACCTCGCCCACGGTAACTCAGTTGTGCCGCGGAATATAGTGGTCATGCACCGCTTCCACTCTCACCCCTTCACTCATGTCAGTCAACGGCCTCCCCGACGTCACCATGGCAGGCGAGAGCGGTAGTTCGGACGGTGAACAGCATCTCGCAGGTGGCAATTTCAGCAATCGCAGGCACGACTGGATCGTACGGAGTAAAGGCTATTATATCATCTATTGTCGCTCACCTACGTGCCCAGGCCGCTCGATACCTCGATCTCCTTGAAAGCGGAGGCCGTGCGCACACTCCCTCTGAGTTCGGCACAGATACTGCTAGCTCAGGAGCTACATCTGACGAAGAGGGCGTAATTTGTACGGACATCAAGATCATACTGCGCCACGTCGTGTACCGTGTATTGCGCATGCCATCGTTGGCACGGATAGCCGTCCCAGTGACTGGTATCGCGCCGATGACGTGCAGGCGAGGTGGGTCTGCCCACTCGAAGGATGCATGCACGAGGTGGATCCACTATGGTTGGATCCCGAGGCGACGAACGCGGTCGAGGCAGTGTTTGGCGCTCTGGGGCTCACGACCGAGCGGTGGACTGGATGTTCTGTATTGGCTATGGACGCGGACTCTCATCTCGACACGGATCAGTGTCGTTTGAGCATGTCGAGCGTGGAG